CCATATTCCTTAGATGTTTACATATTGTTTCATGAGCGACATGCAATTTCAGGGCCATTTCTTTAGTGTGTTGCCTTGGATTAGACTCAACAAGCATCTTCAGAGCATCAATATCAATTCCATCACGGTTTTTAAGGCTAAAGTCACCTGAATGAAATTTGCTGAACATCATTGACACTTATGAACATTCAAAGCATTTCCATAAACTTCTTTGATATTCTTTGTGGCTACAGAGGCATTGTTTCTCTTCTTGCATTCAAACAGCATTACATGCTGAATGTGTGTCTCATCGTGTGGCATCACTATAAGGGATTAGAGTATACTAAACTTTACACATTATACACTACATGGCTACACTAACATGACATTTAGGTGGTTCATTTAGCTATTATACATGATGTATGTTTTTTTAGGAGTGGTTAATGAAAGTGTTCAAAACACAATATTAATATCTTGATGGCCTAAAATATATATGTATTTCTCTCTTTATTATAAAAAAAATGGAAGTTGCCTAAATTGTTAGTATGATTATGAGCTTATTAGGCTGTAATAACATAACTGTTTTAGATACAGTTTTTCCAATGTCACAGATTTATTGTTGATTCTCAGAGTATACTCTGTAACAATCAATACAGTAATTATATACAAGTGTGCATGTGGAAACATTAACCATATTTTATTATGAGCTATTGATTGAAATGTGTTAGTGTGACTATACAGTCTGTATCGATAATGAATATGTAATGATATTGTTATTCTAATAGTGATGATATGAAATAATTGGATGATCTTACAGTTGTTTTTATATCATCTTAAAAGTATTTTTTTTACTTCACAAGTAGCACATTGTAGTAAATTTACTTAGATACAGAAATGATTAACAGAAACATTTATGTTGCTGATGCTAAAAAGCTATGTTCATAGTTGTTTAGTCACACTAAACTGAGGCATATATCTCCTGGTTATTCAGTTATTTTCATGATAATTTTTGTATCAATATAACTAACTTGTATTGGAAAAGGTTTAATGTCTTGGTAGATAACATATGATGACATTTCTATTCTAGCTGCATTTTATGTAAGCATTCAGATCTATAACGTTTAATAGCAATACTGAAGTTGGCCTAAATCATGAAAATCAGTATTACTAGAACAGGTTTGGTAGAATTCAAATATGTAGCTTTTCTAATATTGAGTTAGGGACTTGGAGCTGGACAATTAGTGTAAATTGCTAATTGATTAATTGTCAGGCTCATTAATCAGTGACATTCTACTAATCTACTCAATTACTACTCGATTATTCTCATAAGATGTATAAAAAGAAACACAAAAAACATCAATTATTCACAGTGATACAAATTATTATGGTGCTACAAATTGGGTTTACATACCTGCAATGGGCAGAGCACAGATAGCTTAATATGTTACTCTGTAATTAACAACAAAAATTATAATGGCAATATTTCAGTCACTTGAAAAGTTAGAATATTCACAAAATAAATAATTCAAAACCATAATTTTAATTACTTGATTTTTTTTCATTATGTTTAATATTGTTGTTACTAGAGGGCTAGACATTTCTAGATTATTTTGTTGTGCTGTAAAAACGTGCAGATACAGAGAAAATAAGTTAGTGAAGGTGAAGTTAGACTACATGATTGTCAGTTTAGCCATAACAGGAAATTTATAAAGTGAGAGTTTCATAGTTTGTATTGTAATAACAGAGATAAAGAAGAACTTTTCTTGTCAAAGAGTGTTCAAAAGTAATTGAACCAGCCTGTGTGGACTTTGACGAAAAGGAGACAATTACTTAAAACTCTGGATACAGCTGTTGTAACCAACAGTTATAGTGGTGATTTTTAAGTGAGTTTCACAGCTTGTATTGTAACAGCACAGATAGAGAAGAATAATTCGTCTTGTCAGTTGGGTTCTAAAGTAATTAACAAAAAAAGAGAACTATGTAAAGCTCTAGATTCAACTGTGTTAACCAATAGTGTAACAAATTTTTGTACATACATTTGACTTGTTTTGAATATATATATATATTATTTTAAAACAAGTGGATTGTGTGCAGTCATTTATTGTTGTGATTTATCACCAACAAGTCACAGGTACCCACTGTAAAGAATCTGGCCCTATAAAAACCTATCAATTAATTGACATTTTACATAATACTAGTCGATGTAATTGAAGCTCATAGTTAATCTATTACACTTACTAATCAAGTTAAAACAAGTGGATTGTGTGCTGTCATTTATTGTGGTGATTCATCACCAACAAGTCACAGGTACCCACTGTAAAGAATCTGGCCCTATAAAAACCTATCAATTAATTGACATTTTACATAATACTAGTCGATGTAATTGAAGCTCATAGTTAATCTATTACACTTACTAATCAAGTTAATCGTCAAACTCTATAGGGTGTACTTTGGTTGTGGAAGATATATGGTGTTTTTACAATTTCTGGAACTCTCAGTTCCTTATTTTGAGTGTTGTATTTCACATTATTTATCAGTTGATAAAATAATTAGGCTAACATATCTTTTAAATTTTGAGTAACTGAGCTAAGATTTATATTTAAGTTCATTAGCATATGATTTTCATAAGCCATATTCTCTCTACTGCTTGTTTATGTAAACAAAAATTTAACACAAGTGATTTTTTACAATATCAAGCCAACCTTGCAATTGCAAATTACTGAGAATTGATGTATCCAAAGCAGACTATGCAAATCTACCATCCACCAAAGGCATAGCTGCTGTTCCTAGAAGCTCTCATCTAGGTACATGTAAAGAACAGTTTATGTGTATATAATGACAGATATATTTACGTCAAGTGTGTACATAATTGAAAGAACTAGAGAGATGGTCAAGATATAAATTCTGATTTACTGATGATGTAACTAGGTGTGGTTTTGGTTTGTTTAAAGTCTTACTATTGTCTGAAACTTCAAACTGTGGTCCTTTTTATGAAAAACTTTCAACAACCAACTTCACTTGTAATTGAAAATAGGATCTTACTGAATAGAATTGTAAGAAAAACAAAATGAAAATCTGAATCTTTTATAGTGGTTTATAAGTTTTTAGGCAATTTTTTAACACTATTAATAAGTATTGATTAAATATATATATATATAATTTCACAGTTACCAATTGCTAAGTAGTAATAACCGCATTGGATAAATGTGAATAGCATGGCACATGAATCGTCTTAGATTTGTACAATTTATAAAACTAAATTCACGCTAACCTTAACATGAGGATGGTGAAGCATGTTCCACTTTTACCCTTATACAATAAATTATGGTCCATATTAAAACGTAGGAGTCATTAAATTATTTTAGTCCCTGTCTTAGATTTGTACAATTTATCAAACTAAATTTACGCTAACCTTAACAGTTGATCTACAACTAATCAAGTGGTAGTTTTGTATTTGTACTTTCAATTTAACACATGGTGATTTTAGCCGTAATTAAAACTAAACATAAGCTCTATAATTAACATGTGATAACACTGTATTTAACACAAATCAATTTTATACTTGAAGCTCAGTCGTGTTAACTTGTATTAAATTTACATAGTTGGTAACTCTGTAATGTACGTAAAATTAAACTCATAACATATTTGTACCTATAACTAAGTAATCCCTTCTACCAGAAGAGTGGCTAAACATCTTCAATAAAAATTATAATTATTGACAATCAGTCTTAATTATGTGTCATGTCACAAACCAAAACGGCCTATATGAGCACTCTGACTTAAATCATCAGTTGGATATCCGTGTATTTTCACAGCCCTTATTTCAAGAATACGTGACAAAGTTGGGCCTAGTTAGCGAATTACTAAGTACCAAAGCAG